TTTTTTATATTACCTTGAGCCTATTGCTTTAAACTGTACCATTCTAAGACTGAGGGCAAGCAGCTCCTAATGACCCACTTTGTCTCACAGAGCTTCCTCGACATTAGGGATAAACTTGAACGTTTGGAGAATGGCCCTCTGACCCCATAGGCAGATGTGCTAGTGATAGCATTTAGGTTTACCATGGGAGAGATGAGAAGGCCCAAAAAAGGAACTGCCAGATGCTGGCAAGCACCATCCGACCGGCTCCCGAAAGCCATCTGGTCCCTGTTTCAAGTCCGGAAAAGAAGGTCATTGGGCCCAGGCTTGCACCACCACCCCACCAAGGGCACCAACAAGGCCTTGTCCAAAATGTTGCTAAAAGAGTCACTGGTCAGCTGACTGTCCTAATGTCCCAAGTGACACAGAAATGCCAGACGAAGATGACCACGACCCTCCGGCCAACTTCTAGGCTTGGCCTACAGCAAGGACTGACACTGCCCTATTCCTGCCCCAGCCACTCCCATCTCACACAGGGAACCAAAGGTAATAATAAAAGTAAATGGGCGCCCCATCTCGTTCCTTTTGGACACCGGAGCTACCTACTCTGTCCTGAGAGAGTTTGGGGGGCCTACCTCTCCTTCTTGTCTCCCTATTGTTGGGGTTGAGGGACAGCCTTATCTACCTCATCAGACACCACCACTCAATTGCATTTTCAGAGGCATCCCTCTCTCACACACATTCTTAGTGGTGCCAAGCTGCCCTGTGCCTTTAATGGGAAGGGATCTTCTAGTTAAGGTAGGAGCATCCATTTCTTTCGCTCCACACATTCGCCTCATCCCAGACACACCAGCAGCTAGCTCCTCTTCTTCTCCTAGCCACTCACTCTATTGACTCTAACAATTCTTTTCCCTTGCCAGCCTCTCAGGTAGACCCAAAAGTCTGAGATACCCAAAACCCTTCTATTGCTAGATACCATCAGCCTATTATTATCCAGCTATAAAATCCTACCAGATATATCACCCAAGCTCAGTATCCTCTCTCACTCCAGAGCCTAAGAGGACTTATGCCTATCATTTCTGACCTTCTCAGGAAAAAGCTGCTCTGCCTTTTAACACCCCCATACTTGCAGTTAAAAAGTCTGATGGAACCTACCACCTGGTTCAAGACCTCCGGCTCATTAACTTTGCAGTGGTTCCCCCTCCATCCTGTAGTGCCTAACCCTTACACTCTCCTGTCCACTATCCCTTTGGGAACCTCTCACTTCTCAGTACTAGATCTCAAAGATGCCTTCTTTTCTAACCCTCTCAGTCCTCAGTCTCAAAATATCTTTGCTTTCACCTATATTGACTCTGACACTCACCTGTCCACACAGCTGACCTGGACTGTTCAGCCACAGGGATTCAGAGATAGTCCACACCTATTTGGTCAGGCTCTGTCCTCTGACCTGCTTTCTCTGTCTCTCCCTGGTTCTAAACTAATACAGTATGTAGATGATATTTTACTCTGTAGCCCATACTTACAGGTTAGCCAAACTAACACCTCTGTTTTCCTAAATTTCTTATCCAGCCGAGGTTACAGGGTATCTCCTTCTAAAGTCCAGCTGTCAACTCCCCAGGTCACCTATTTGGGTCTATCCATTACTCCAACTCACAAGGCTATTACTGTAGTCAGAAAGCGTCTAATCCAGTCCCTCACAGTCCCTTCTACTAAACAGAAGATTCTGTCTTTCCTAGGAATGGCTGGCTTCCTACAGTCTTGGGTTCCATCTTTTTCTCTCCTTGCTCACCACATGAGCCCCTCCTCCATCCTGTCACTAAACCTTTCCAGGAGCTCCAACAGGCTCTTCTTCAGGCCCCAGTGCTTCATCTCCCAGACCTAACCCATCCCTTCTCCCTCTATGTAGCAGAGAAGGAGGTATTTGGCCTGGGAACTCTAGGGTATCATCTGGGACCCTCCTGTAGCCTATCTGTCAAAGAAGCTAGACCTTACCAGTCAGGGCTGGGCACCTTGCATCTGAGCCTTAGCAGCTGCAGAGCTCCTTATTCAGGAATCAAAGAAGCTAAGCTTTTGGGTCATCCATTACTGTTTTCTCTCATCATAATCTGTCCCATCTCTTAACTTATAAATGCTTACAAACTTTACCTCCTTCCTGGGTTCTTTCTCTCCAGGTGGCATTACTTGACAATGTCACACTTACTTTCCAGACTTGTCCACCCCTTAATATTTCAAACCTCCTCCCTCAACCTAATGCTAACTATTCTCCTTCTCATTCCTGCACTGAAACCTTGGAGGAACTATTACCTCACCCTTCACACATACAGGAGGGCACATTGCCTCAGCTACTTATACCTGGTACACAGATGGCAGCTCCTTTTTATATAAAGGGACATGTAAAGTGAGTTATGCCATAGTGTCAGATACTGAGATAATAGAGGCATAGGCATTACACACACACACAAACACACACACACACACATACACACACACACACACACACACACACACACACACACACACACACACACACATACCACTAACCAACAGGCTGAGCACCTGTGCCTTCCAATTGGCACAGGGACAATCTCTAAATGTTTGCACAGACTCCAAATATGTTTTTCATATCCTCCTGTCCCACACTGGTATTTGGAGGGAGTGTGGCCTTCTCACAGCAAAAGGGGGATCCATATCTAACTCAGACCAAATAATGGCCATGCTGGAGGCTTCCCACCTCTCCAAGGCTATAGAAATTGTCCACTGCCAGTCTCATCAGACCGATAGCTCCATCATCTCTAGGGGAAACAACCAGGCTGACCAGGCTGACCAGGCAGCCAGGACAGCGGCCCTCCAGGGCCAAGTCTCACCTCACCCACCACAGGGAATCCATACAGTACAGCTTACACCCTCACAGGGAACTCCAGACACTATAGACAAATTCTTTCTTATCCTCACCAGCTCTTTCATCCTAATAATCTTGCTCTGTCTCAATACATAAATGCTCCCCTGCAGCCCACCTCTGAGGATTTACAGTTCTTAAGAACTATTACTGCCTCTTGTGAGATCTGCCAAAAAACAGATCCCAATACCAAGTATAGGAGTCAACCTTTTCCCACCCACCAGGCTAGAGGTTCCCTTCCAGGGGCTGACTGGCAGCTCCATTTTACCCATATGCCCACCATCAGGAAAGTTAAATATCTCCTCATGATAGTTGACTTATTTTCAATGTGGGTGGAGGCATATCTGGTTTCTAATAAGCAGGCTCAGACAGTTGCAGATCTCCTTCTTTGAGAAATTATTCCTCGGTTTGGGGTTCCTGCTTCTCTTCAGTCTGACAATGGCCCAGAGTTCACCTCTCAGATTTCTCAGACACTAGCTAAGGCTCTTAACATTCCTTGGCATTTTCATATCCCATACCATCCTCAATACTCAGAAAGGTGGAGCGCACCAACCGGTTATTAAAAACTATTCTTACTGAGATGTCACAGGAACTTCATCTTGACTGGGTAAGATTATTGCCTCTAGCTCTTCTCGGGTTCAGGGCTCTTCCTAAAATGCCTCTTTCAGTCTCTCCATTTGAACTAATGTATGGAAGGCCAGTTCTAACACCAGGTCTTTTATCCAACACTCCACCTGTTCCAGATAGCCTGCTAACTCCCCTTTTATGTCACCTAAGGTTCATTACCTCAGCCATGTGACAATAATTGTCCACCTCTAAAACACATCAGGGATCAGGTTCTTCTCTTCGCTCCAGGCCAGTGCCCTTCACCCCTCCCCCCTAAGTGGCAGGGACCCTTCAAGGTAATTCTTGTGACTCCTACAGCTGCTAAACTCGAGGGCTTTCCTCACTGGGTCCACCTGTCTCATCTAAAACCTTTTATCTCACCTCCATCCCAGAAAAAAAAACTCTCTTCATATACAGTGAAACAAACAGGGCCTTGTACTCTCAAGCTCCAGAGGACATCAGGATCCACTGCCTTGTCACCAATTCCAGAGGAATAAGGTATCACCCCTTCCTTTCCCAACTAGGGCCACACAGAGCCGGAGGCAAAAAGGACCATCAAAATATCCAGGTGGCAAGGAAAAATGTAATACAACAGTCTATCATTGTTCAATACTCAGCAACTGATCACTTTCGTTTCCTAAATGCTAAACTAATAAAGGAAACAGGTGCCTTAAATAAACTACCTCTAATAAGGCTTGTCTCAGATAAAAATTATGCAGAGTACTAAGGCCAGATCTACCTCAGATAAATGTCACATGTCTCCATCTGGTCAGGCCAGATCTACCTCAAATAAATGCCAACTCCAAAAATAAAATAATAATGATTTGGTTTTTTTTTCTCTAAGCTTTTTCTATGTCACCAGCATCTTGTCAAACAAAAGGTTCCCAGCCACAGCACAGAGGATAGACAGCTGCAGAACAAGGGGACGGCAGAACTTCAAGACCCCCCCACCATCATCCCAGGACTTCAGAAGCTACCCTCCCCATTTCCCCCAAGAGCCAACTGACAACCACCATTCAGCCAGAAGCAGTCTTTGAGAGAAACTTCACCCCATACCCACTCAACCACAATTAAAAAAAAAAAAAGAGGAGTCAGGGATGATAGATCCACAACACGCCCCCATGGTTAGGCACGTCCAGCAGACCTAGACACTTCCGCCTAGCCAGTTCCAGGTCAAAATAGCCATTTCCAGGTCAAGGCATCTCATGTGACCAGGACCCTGTGGCTTTGCATGGTTGCGTAAGAGCACGCAACGCAGCCATGTGATCTGTGCACATACATGGTGTAGCCACGTGGACCTTTGTACACATGCACCACCCAGCCTTTATAAGCCAGCACCATATTCCTGGCTTCCTTCGTGTGTGTGTGTGTGTGTGTGTGTGTGTGTGTGTGTGTGTGTGTGTGTGTGTGCTAGAAAACTACTTTATTTGTTCTGGGGAGTTGTCCAGAGTCCCATTAGAACTTCTGGAACTGCTTCTTGGTGCCAGCAGCCTTGGTGATCTTGAGCACATTGATGCAGACTGTCTTGCTCAGGGGCCTGCACTCTCCCACAGTGACGATGTTGCGATCTGTACATCCCTGAAACAGGGGGACAGGTGCACAGACATGTTCTTGTGGTGCTTCTCAAAGCGATTGTACTTCCGGATGTAATGGAGGTAATCCCTGTGGATGACAATGGTCCTCTGCATCTTCATCTTGGTCACACAAGATGCCTTGGCCTGGAAATGGCCATTTTTACCCGGAATTGGCTAGGCAGAAGTGTCTAGGTCCACCGGACGTGCCCAACCGTGGGGGCGTGTTGTGGATCTATCATCCCTGACTCTTCTTTTTTAAAAAGAAAAGAAAAGAAGAAGAAGGAGGAGGAGGAGGAGGAGGAAGAGGAGAAGGAGGAGGAGGAAGCCGGGAATATGATGCCAGCTTATAAAGGCTGGGTGGCGCATGCATACAAAAGTCCATGTGGCTACTCCATGCATGTGCACAGATCACATGGTTGCATTGTGCACTCTTACACAACCATGCAAAGCCTCAGGGTCCTGATCACATGAGATGCCTTGACCTGGAAATGGCTATTTTGACCTGGAACTGTCTAGGCAGAAGTGTCTAGGTCCACCAGACATGGCCAACCGTCGCGTGTTGTGGATCCATCACTGATACTGTTTCCAGTATCTCCTGGTGAATTAGACAAAAAGAAACAGCTTTAAGGTTTGTCTATATAACCATAGGAAAGCTGTCTCACTTCTGTTTACTTACTATCTTTCTCAAACCTGATGATGTTTGCCAGTTTTAACAGCTCTCTCCTCCAACTCAAGATTTCTGTGGACTTTACTCATCCCAGCTTTTACAGACAGGTTAGCATTGGAGAAGGTGGGGAATCCTCCCTCCTTCTTCTTTACTCACCCAACCACTTCTATTTAGTATTTCTTCTGGTTATAGATTTAAAGATGCATTTCATTAGGCTGAAACTAGGTCCTAAAAATGTTCACATCTTTTAACTAAAGCCTTTTGCTATGACATCAAGATGCAAATCTGTTCCAGTTGTTTTACACACTTACAGGTGTAAACCTGCATAGGTTTACCCTTTCTGACAGACTTGTGCCAAGACCAGCTCTCAGGGGCTCTTCAGATACACCACCAGCCCCTGCTCCAGTTCTGAGAATAGCAATCACCAACCAAGGATGTTAACCACGTGAACACTTGCAGAGAAACAGCAGAAGTGATGATTCCTGTACTCCTGATTTGGCATGCAATTTCCCCCAAACTCATGGAACATCACTGCTGGTACCACTACTCCAGACTCAAGGGCATATCTGCTCTCGTGTCTCTCTCATTCACCCTTGCCTCTTCTGTACAACCAGGGCACCTCTCCATTTTATTCTTTCTGGCAGTAATCACTTTTCCCATGGCTAGCCCATCATGATAATAATCTATTTTTTCTCCTAATAACCTGCCTTCTTAGCTCTCTCAAGGAACATATGCCTGAGATCTCCATGATGACAGCTAATTGAATGCTTCTGCACTCACACTTCCCACCGTGTGTGACCCCAACTCCCAACTTCACCCTCCCTACTTTGCCTTAAAATCAGCAGGAAGCAGTCTCCAGAATTCAGCATCCTCATCCTCCACACACACACACACACTTGCTACCCATAACTCACTTTTTAATAATAATCAAAAGGAAGGAATGTTAGGACCTGCACAGGGTCCTGACATCATCTTATGTAAAGTCCCCTTTATAAGAAAATTTCTCCCCCTTTCTCTCTATTCCCATGAGGTGTGCTCCTCCATGCTCTTTTTCTTTCTCTCTTTCTCTCTCTTTTCTCTGCCACCCTTAATAATAAACTTTCCACATGAACACTGTGTCTGCATGGCATAAATAATTTTCCACTACTCCATGCCATAGCCCACCACCATGTCTGCATGGCATGTCTCCCTCACCCACCAGGCCCAAACCCGCCAAGGCCTCCCATGCACTGTACCATACATAACACTGGCATTTCCAACATCTTGGGGTCTCAAAGCAATCCAGGCTTCCACTTCATAGCTTCACACAATGGTTTCTCTAGGCCTCCATTCAAGGACACCCTTGACACGTGCCTAGCATCGGTGACTTTCCTTGGTCATAGGAAAAGATTCCATAACCCCTTTCTTCTGTCCTTAAAGCCAGAACCATGTGGCCAAAGCTGTCAAGTTCTGCTGCTCACTGGGGCTGGAACATGGCCCCCTCATTCAATTACATCTTCACCAGTTTTCTGTTTTCTATAGTTTCCTTCACTGCCTAATCTGGGATATCCTGGAGCTTGCCCTGTAGACCAGGCATGCCTCTAACTCAGGGGTCCACCTGCCTCTACCTCTGAAGTGCTGGGATTAAAGGTGTGCACCACCACACCCTGCTTTAAGATTTTCTTCAATTCCTTTCCTCAAATTGGAAACTTAGCTGGGTGGGATCTTGTTCTCAGGTTACCACTCCCTTCATTCCATTTCTTAATCTGTTTATCTGTTTATCTCCTTGAACAAAGGACTTAGCTGCTGTGGGATGTCCTGTATGCTGTGAATCTATGTTGCTGTGATTGATTGATAAATAAAACGCTGATTGGCCAGTAGCCAGGCAGGAAGGATAGTGTAGGTGGGACAAGGAGAGAGGAGAAGGCTGGGTGGAAGAAGGCTGAGTGGGGATGCGGCCAACCGCCACGAGGAGAAGCACGATGTAAGATACCGGTGAGCCATGAGCCACATGGCAAGGTATAGATTTATAGAAATGGATTAATTTAAGATATAAGAACAGATAGCAAGAAGTCTGCCACGGCCATACAATTTATAAGTAATATAAGTCTCTGTGTGTTTACTTAGGGGACGCAAGTGGGAGAGATTTGTCCTGACTGCTGGCAGGCCGGGACACAGGAAAACGTCAGCAACACTTAGCTCTGTTCCACTTCTTGGTGCTCATTTTCTCCTCAAAGTGTACATTTTGTACTTTTACTTTCTCAGCTTGCTCCTAGGATCTCATTATAAATATGTATAAGAGTAACCAGTAACAACCACACAACAGAGTCCATACAAGGCTCTTTTGAGATTTCCTCTGCCAATGGAATAAATCCAAAACTCTTCACTTTAGCCTCAGGCAGACTCTTCAGACAAAAGCAAATAGAAGCCACATTCTTCACCAAAATATCACAAGAAACATCTCTAGGCAACATATTAAAATTCTTCTCCTCTGAAACATCTTGATCCAGGCCCCCACAGTTCATCAAATCACACTCAGCACCACTGTCTTCCATGTTCCTACTAGGATGGCCCATTATGCAGCACTTAAAACATTTCAGCTGCTTTTCTAATCCAAAGTCCATTTCCTTCAAACAGAAGCATGGTCAGGCCTATCACAGCAATACCCAACTCCTGGTACCAACTTCTATCTTAGTTAGGGTTTCCATTGCAGTGAGGAGACACCATGACCACAGCAACTCTTATAAAGGAAAACATTTAATTGGGCTGGCTTACAGTTCATAGATTTGGTCCATTAACATCATGGTGGGACATGGCAGCATTCAGGAAGACATGGTGCTAGAGAAGGAGCTGAGAGTTCTTGATCCAAAGGCAACAGGAAGTGAACTAAACTAAGTATGGCTTAAGCATGGAGAACTCAAAGCCTGCTCCCATAGTGACATATTTTCTCCAACAGGGCCACATCTATCAAACAAGGCCACACCTCCTAATAGTGCCACTTGCTATGAACTTTAGGGGCAAATTACATTCAAACTATCACAGATCTCTACAATGAAAACATTAAACCTCTTTAAAAAAAAAAGATAGAAAGGCACTAGAAAATGGAAAGGCATTCCATGCACGTGGATTGGTAGAATTATTTTATTTGTTTGTTTGTTTGTTTGTTTGTTTGTTTGTTTTTTGAGACAGTGTTTCTCTATATAGCTTTGTGCCTTTCCTGGATCTCTCTCTGTAGACCAGGCTGGCCTCAAACTCACAAAGATCTGCCTGCCTTTTCCTCCTGAGTGCTGGGATTAAAGGTGTGCGCTACCACCGCCCGGCAGGATTGGTAGAATTAATGTGAAAATGACCATTCTAGCAAGATCTATTTACATATTCAATGTAATCCCAATCAAAACTATCCTATAATCCATAAAGAACAACAAAGACCCCAGGTAGCCCAAGCAATCCCGAGGCAGGGTGGGAAACAATCCTGGAGGGATTGCTGCTCCAGAACTTAAGATATCTTACAGAGACATAGTAATAAAAACATAAGGCTTGGGCACAAAAACAGACATGTAGACTGATGGAAGAAAATAGAAGAACCAAACATGAGCACACATGTGACATGTGATAAAGATGCCAGAAATAAGCCAAAGAAGGAAAAAAAAAAACATCTTAAGCAAAGGGTCATGGGAACCGGATGTCTACACAAAGAATAAAATTAGAGCCATATCTATCACCTTGCAAAAAAAAAAAAAAAAAAAAAAAAAAACTATCTCCAAACTGATTTTAGACCTAAATGTGAAACCTGAAGCTGCTAGAAGAAAACAGGCAGCACTCTACATGTTATAGCTGTAGGAGAGCACTCTCTGAATAGGTCTCCATTTGCTCACAGGCCAGGGTCAGCAGTTGACAAGTGGGACTTCGTAAAAGTGAAAAGCTTCTGCACAGACAGAGAAATAATCAGCTTAATGTAGAGAAAGTCCACAGAATGCGAGAGAAGCTTTGATATCTCTGCACCTGACATCCAGAATCTTTAAAGAACTCAAAAATAATCAGAAAAAAACAAATGTCCCCTTTGAAAGATAGGTCTGAAATGTGAACAAAGGATTCTCAAAAGAAAAAAATTTAAAGGCTAAGAAATATCTCACGAAATATTCATTGCCCATAGCAATTAAAGAAATGCAAATTAAAACAACATTGATTTTATCCCAGTCATAACAGCAAAGATCAACAAAACAACCAACAACAAATCCTGGAGTGGGTGTGGGGAATGGGACACCCTCATTATTTGTTGGTGGAATTGCACACTGATGCAGCAGTCTGGTAATCAGTGTAGACAATTCTCAAAGGCTAAAAAGAAATCTATATTATGACCCAGCTAGGCCACTCCTTGGCATATACCCAAAGAACTCAAAATCCTATTGCATGGATAAGTTCAGCCATGTTCATTGCTGCTCTATTCATAATAGTTAGAAAATGGAAAGCACCTAAATGTCCTTCCTTTGATGAATGGAAATGTGATAACTATACACTGTGGAATGTTATTCAGCTGTAAAGAAAAATGAAATCATGAACTTTCCAGGTAAATGGATGGAACTAGAAAAGATCATATTGAATGAGGTAACTCAGACCCAGAAAGACAAACACTCTCTCATCAGCAGCTCCTAGCTTCAAATTTTCAAATGTAAGTGTTGTCCTCTCTTCTCATCATGATCTTCTCTATGTAACAGAGACCATTACAGAAAACCACAACCAATCAAACTGCAGAGTTTTATAGCCCAGCTCCAAAGGATACCTCTACTCCTTCACCTAACACATGGAAAATATTATGGAATGGGGGGGTAGAAAGGTTATAAGAGTCAGAGGACCAGAGAGTTTTCTGTGAGATTGTGTCTTGTAGGAATGTCAGAAGCTACACCCATGAAGTCTCACCATGAGCCAAACAAGGACAACAATAGGCATGTTAAAGTGGGCCAGGGAAAGCCCAGGAAGCCTCAGCCCTATGTAGAGAACTAGAAGCAACTAAGAATGCTGAGAGCATGAGAAAGAGTCTTCCCCAAGTAAGAGCGTACCAATTGGCTATCCCATACCAAATGGCCAGCTCTGAAGACATACATGAGAGTAACATTATAAAGGATAGACTGAGCAGGTTATATTCAGGAATATAAGTGTATAGACATATATGTATATGTATATATATATACATATATATATGTGTATGTGTGTGTGTGTGTGTGTGTGTATATATATATACATGTAACAATATCAAATGAAAAAAAAGAGGTGATGAATTGAAAAGGAGTGAAGAAGGGTATATGGGAAGGTTTATGGGGAGGAAAGGGAAGGAGGAAATTACATTATATTATAATCTCAAAAATAAAAGAAATAATAAAAATACAAAAATGACCCAGTTTTCAGATGCCAGGGCTTTTAACATAGTAGAAGGCTTACCTAGCATGAGCAAGACCCTGAATTATATTCCCATCACTATAAAGTATTAATAATAATAATGACAAAAGATCTGAATGGACATTTCTCCAAGAATACATATCAATGGCAGTAAGTATAGAAAGATATTCTAAGCATTAATGACCACTAAGCAAAACCACAAAATGGCAACAATCAAAATAAACAAGCAAATACTGATGGTAGGAGAGTGAACAAAACTAGGACAATTCGCTAGTGGGAACATAAAGTGGTGCAGTTACGACTGAAAAATATTTCCACTTTTGATAATATAAGCTGCCAGAGGAAGCCTCTCTGGTGATGACTGGATAAGACACTGATCATATTTGTCTCTCTGGGTCTGAGTTACCTCACTCGGGATGATTTTTTTCTAGTTCTATCCATTTGGATGCAAATTTCATGATGTTATTTTTTAACAGCTGATACTCAATTGTGGATATTATTCTGTTGAGGGACATCTAGGTTATTTCCAGTTTCTGGCTATTACAAATAAAGCCACAATGAACATCGTTGAGCAAGTGTCTTTGTGGTAGGATGGAGCATCCTTTAGGTATATGCCCAAGAGTAGCATAGCTAAATCTTGAGTAAATCAATTCCCAACTTTCTGAGGAACCACCATATTGATTTCCATAGTGACTGTACAAGTTTGCACTCCCATCAGCAATGGAGGAATGTTCCCCTGGCTCCACATCCTCACCAGCATAAGCTGTCATTTGTGTTGTTGATCTTAGCCATTCTGACAGGTATAAGATAGAATCTCAGAGTAGCTTTGATTTGCATTTCCATCATGGCTAAAATGTTGATCATTTCTCTAAGTGTTTCTCAGCCAGCTGAGTTTCTTCTATTGAGAATTCTTTGTTTAGACCTGTATCCCATTTTTAAATTTGGATATTTGGTTTTTTGACATCTGGTTTCTTGTGTTCTGTTTGTTGTTTGTTTTCAATGTTCTGTTTGTTTGTTTGTTTTGTTTTCAAAGAGATTTTTTATTTAAAACAATTTATTCATTTTACATACCAACCACAGATCCCCCTCTTATCCCTCCTCTTGCTGCCCCAACCCCCATCTTCCCCCACCCTGACCCACCCCCATCCCCTCCTCCAAAAAGATAAGTCCTCCCATGGAGGGACAGCAAAGCCCAGCTCATGCACCAGGAATAGATAGATCCTGATCACACTGCCAAGGGCCCCTCAAACAGACCCAGCTACACAACTGTCTCCCGTACACAGAGGGTCTAGTCCGGTCCCATGCAGGTTCCACAGCTGTCAGTCTAAAGTTAGTGAGTTCCTACGAGCTTGGTTCAGTTGTCTCTGTAGATTTCCCCATCATGATCTTGACCCCCTTTGTTCATATAATCCCTCTTCCCTCTCTTCGACTGGACTTCTGGAGCTCATTAATATCAGTCCTTTATCAGATGTGGAGTTGGTAAAAAATCTTTTCCTATTCTGTAGGCTGCTGTTTTGTTCTAATGATGGTGTCCTGTGCCTTACAGAAGCTTTTCAGTTTCATGAAGTCTATTATTAATCATTGATCTTAGTGCCTGCCCTATTGGTGTTCTAACCAGAAAGTCATCTCCTGTGCTGATGCATTCAAGGCTATTCCCTAGTTTCTCTTCTACAAGTTTAGAGTATATGGCTTTATGTTGAGGTCTTTGATCCACCAAAGAGACTAGAACTTAGGGGTGAGGGTTCCATGTAGGCACCAGCTCAACTTCAGTGAATTATGTGGGTGTTGTCCTCAGCAATGGGGCCCTGACATCAGTTTGTGGGGAGCAACCTTTTGTCCAGGAAGCAACCTAGGTTGTTTGGGGACTTCCATGGGCCGCCTTTGGCTAACAGCACAATTGAATGTAACCTAGCCTTACCACTGGAAGCCTCCTCTGGCTATAAGAGTTGGCCAGTTGAGACTCTGCATCCCCCATTGCTATGAGTCCTCATAGTAATTCTAGGAAGTTTCCATTGTATTAGGTTTCCACATCACCCCCAAGTGCCCCCCAACTCCAACTGTCTCTCCCCTGTGTTCTCTCCTTCTGTCCCATCCCCCCACCACCACCTGATTCCCCCACTCCCATCCCTACTTGTCCCCAGGCCACTCATAAAATCCACTCTGTTCCCCACCAGGGAGATCCCTATGTCTCCCCAACACCCCTACTCTGAACATAACCTATCTGGGTCTACAGATTGAAATACAGAGGTTCTTAAATTAATCTTTGGTGATGGTTGCAATTCTGTAAGTATATTGAATACCATTTTAATTACATACTTTAAATGGGTAAAATGGATGGTATATGAATTACACTCAATAAAGCTTCTAAAAATGAAATAACAATTGTGAACACAATAGGTACTAATTAATATTAAATAGTCTAGAAATAGTACACAATAGGTACTAAATAATAACAAATATTCTAGAAATAGTTTTGAAATTAACTGATCCAAATGTCAGACTAAGATAAAACATTTAATAGCGATGCTTCTAAATCAAAATAAATGAAAACAGACAAATATTTTATAATATACATAGATAAGCTTACCAGACAAAATATTTCAGTTTTTATTGAAGTGCTTGGAATAAGACAGGTGCAGAGAGAAAGTAATATCCTGTGACAGCATGGGGGAAATGCTAACAAGCTGCTCTGATTCTCCCAGGTTGGACCCAGTTATGGATTGAGGAGTGTTTACAGAAGGCAATTGTATTGGTTATTTTATGTCACTTGACGCAAGCTAAAGTCACCTGCGGAGAGGGATCGTGGCTGAGAAGAGTGGCTCCATACAATGGGTCTGTAGGCAAGTCCATCGGGCATTTTCTTGATTAATGATTGATGTGGGAGGGCGCAGCCTATTGTGGGTGGTGCCAACCTTGGGCAGGTGGTCCTAAGTTGTAAAAAATCAGGCTGAGCAAGCCATGAGGAGCAAGCCAGTAATCAGGGATCCATCATGTCTTCTGCTTCATTTCCTGCCTCCAGGTTTACACCTTGAACTCTCTCCCTCAATAAGCTATGACCCAAACTAGATAAGCCAAATAAATCCTTTCTTCCCTAAATGTCTTTTGATCACATTGTTTTATCACAGCAATAGAAACCATAACTAAAATAGGGCATGCCTTTTGGACAAAATGAACTTCAGCATGGCCTTCTAGTTTGAGAACTGCCAGAATAACAAAGGAAAATACCACAAAACGGTTCTTGATGTTTTCAGATACACTTTTCCCCAGCAAGGTAGTGTCAAATCAAACAGAGTTGACCAAACTCAATTCTAAATCTATAAAACAGCAGTTGATATAATCCAAGAGACTTTGGAGACCAGTGGAAGAATGGAGGAGCCCCTTCACAAGATGCTCAGAGGAACTGAAGTCTGAGGAAGATTTTGCACTGTTAATATCAGGACTGACAACAGTTCATTTTTCAGTTTAATATAAAGAGAAACTGCTGAAAGCAAATACTTAATTTCTATTAAATAAGCCACATTCAATAAACTCAAACACATGAGGAAGGAAATCGGGGGCTGATGAGATGGCTCAGTGAGTCAAGGTACTTGCTGCCAAGTCTGAAAACCTGGCTTCAATCTGCAAGGAACATTGAACATTGAACACCATGGAGGGAGAGAACCGACTCCCACATGTTGTTCTCTGGCCTCCCCACATACACCATGGTGTACATGTGCACACAAATACACACATGCACAAATAATAAGACAAATATAATAAAAATTTTAAGATTGCATGAAAATAATTCTTCATAGAAAATATCAACAGAAATATAGACTAAAAAACATTGATTTTATAAACAACTTGATATCTATAGAGAATGTTTTTTAAAACACATGATTAATCCATTTTTAAAGGAAAGTGATCTCAATTATTTTGATTTTTAAGACAGGGTCTCATGTAGCCCAGGTTGGCCTTGGAGTTTCTATACAGCCAGAGACGACTAAACTCTTCCCCTCCTCTTCTGTCTTTGGAGTACTGGGACTCTAAGTGTACCACCACACTTGACTTTAAATTTATTTCTTTATTTAAAAAAACAACATTGTCCATCAGAAAATTAAAAGATTTTAAACCACGCATCAAAAAAGAACTAGTCCTATCTAAGCCATCTTCCCAAACCACAAAGACTAAATACTCACTTTCACCTGCAAGTCCTCGGAGCTCTCCGGTGACATGTACAAAGAGAGCAGAACTGGCAGCGTGTTTGTGACCGCCACAGCCCTGGCGTGCTCTGGCGTGTGTCTTCCCAGCTGTCCTAAGGCCCAGGCGGCAGCAGCCTTAATGTGATCTTCTGGTTCTTCTGAGAGACAGATTGACAACTGGGGTACACCCTGCCAGGAACCCAAAGAGCAAGTGTTATATACAAATCTGGGGCAGACTTGTAGAATCTACTCTGTCTCTCAGACATCGAAAGAAGTCATTTTGGCTTCATTCCTTTCTCCTGAGTGATCAAGTAATGGCACATCAGGCCTGCCGTTTAAGTCAGCTATGTGGCTAGAACCAAGCTGTGTTAATTATCTGTAACGAGCCAACTTAACTATCCTTGTATCTCTAATAGTTTTTACTCCCAATGGCGGGACATTCAACGGAACAACACATGCCACACACCAGGCAAACACCAACGCTACTGTGACCAACTAAACTGTTTAGGATCGTAAAGCCCTTATTTTCCCTTGTTTAAAAAGTTAACAATGCGGAGCTGGAGAGATGGTTCAGCAGTGAAGAGCACTGGCTGTTCTTCCAGAGGTCCTAAATTCAATTCCCAGCAACCATATGGTGGCTCACGGCCATCTATAGTGGGATCTGATGTCCTCTTATGGTGTGCAGGCATACATGCAGACATACATACTCATGTACATAAAATACATAAATAAATCTTTTTTTAAAAAGTTAACCAAGGACTGAGGATATAGCCAAGAGCCCTGGTCTAGCATATGTGCAATCCTGAGTTCAATCTTCATCAACACACACACACACACACAACACATTAATTTAATTTTCACCAATTACAGTAAATCTGAGAACAACATTATTATGATAGAATAAAATTTTAACAATATGGGCAAGTAGAATATATCCCACTGATATCTTTCTTGAAGTAGCACTTATTTATTATTTATCTATTTATCTATTTATGTCAACTTAATTACAGTTTTGCTCATCCTAACATGAGTGAATGCCTCAGCAGGATGAATCCTTTTGTTATACTAGTAGAACATGCTTACATTTTATATCTTAAGCATTAATGTTAACTAATAATAAAAACATAACCACCTAGAATACCTCAAACACATCACAGTTCATGTATCAAAGGAAAATAAATCAAATTCTAATTCCAGACTCTTGGTGAGCATATTTTTCTAATTTGAGACTTTACCCCAAATTCAGTACCAAAAAAAAAAAAAAAAAGAAAGAAAAAGAAAAAGAGAATCTCTCAGTATCAGAAGACCATGACACCAGGTAAAGGCTAAAATTATTAGGTTAGAGTTCAGTTTCCTGAAGAGATCTACCACATTTTTCCATCTGTTCTTTCCTACAGCTACACTCTGCGTCCACCAATACAAAAGCTCAGACCTCCTTCAGAGTGAAGTGGTGCTCTAAAGAGCACATACTTGTAGATTTAACCAGACAGAGGCAGAAGAGGAAAGGGAAACAGCTCATGGACCCAGTGCCCAGCTCTGCTTACAGGCTGACTGGCTGTGAATGCGCCATGACACAGAGTTACAGACTGCCATTGAACCCTGGGCATCGTTTCCCCTCCCCTTCCTTCCCTCCAAACTTTCCCATACACCCCTCCTTGCTCTCCTTCAAATTCATGGTCTCTTTGTTTATCGTTATTATTAAGATATTTTCTATTCATTTTACATACCAATCACAGATTCCCACTCCTGCCCCCCCCCAGCCTTTCCCCCCAACCCACCCCCCATTCCCACCTCCTCCAAGGCAAGGTCTCCCATGGGGAGTCAGCAGATCCTGGTACATTCAGCTGAGGCAGGTCCAAGCCCCTCCTCCCTGCACCAAGGCTGCGCAAGGTGTGACACCTCAGGCACTAGGCTCCAAAAGGCCAGCTGAAGCACCAGGGACAAATCCTGATGCCCCTGCCTGGGGGCCTCCCAAACAGTTCAAGCTAAACAACTGTCTCAAGTATCCAGAGGGCCTAGTCCAGTCCCATGAGGGCCATGGTCTCCTTTTTCATTAATTGCTGTGTGTGTGTGTGTGTGTGTGTGTGTGTGTGTGTGTTTGTTTTTTGAGACAGGGTTTCTCTGTGTAGCCCAGGCTTTCCTGGAACTCACTATGTAGATCAGGCTGGCCTTGAACTCACAGTGATCTGCCTGATGCAGCCTTCCAAGTGCTGGATTACTGCCTGGCAAAAAAACAAAACAAAACAAAACAAAAGTTTTAAAAAACTAAGCATTATCACTAGGACAAGGAGAGAATGCTACTCGGCTTTGTGCTTTGTCTCAAACTACTGCCCCACTTTGATCTCTGAGAAACTGAAAAACTGAAGGAAAAGCTGGCGGCTGAGGGGACGCCCCCTGGAGCTGAGCTGGAGCCCGGGAGTTAGCCAATGCTGCACTTTCATCACTGTCCCCACGTGGTAAGCAGGGAGCAAAGACCCTTGTCAAAAGCTCACAGCAACTCCGCTATGTGGTGATATTTTATTTGTACTGAAATGTTATTTTAATTTTATGTTAATAAATAAAGTTGCCCTGGGGTCAGAGCTATTAGAGCCATAGTAAGAGCGTGGTGGTTAGAAGAGCTAGGTA